CTGACAGCTACCCTCTGAGTTGCCTCATCCACCAGAGGACATCATCACTGTGGTTGGGATCCTGGATCTCCATCTTCCTACGTGACCCTGCACAAATCACAATCGCTCCCTACCTTACTCGCCTTATCTGTAAAATGGGATAATAAAACTACTTTTGTAAGGTTCTTGTGAGGATAAAGATGTTTGTAAAGCACCTGACAATCTCTGACATATAGTAGGTGTTAACTATTGTTAACTATTAAGTTAGCTATTGTTAAAGGCAACAGCATTCCCTGCAACATTTGGGTCTATTTTATTCACCCAAAAGAACCATTTTATGTCTTTCTAATTACTTGCTTTATAAATCAGTTTTGTTTTGCTTTTAAAAAGGTGATACTGAAAAACAGGAATGGATGATAGGGTATCCTTACCTTCTTTCCTAGAAGACTGGATCAGGTCATTAGCTCGAGAGGTTTATCTCCTGTATAGATACTTACCACTTCTTACTTCACTAAGACAGACCTTAAGCTTGGTTAGAAACAGTAAGCCACACTATTATCCTAGGATATGGCACCGTCAAACATAAAAAGTAATTTTCTGACTATAAACCCAAGAAAGAATATCAGCATAATTCATCCCAATGAAAAAAAAAAAAAGAATTATAAACTTCCACAAGGTATAAATGTAGCCAAGCAGGTACCCTCATTTAACTGGATTTATTTGATCTCTCACCAGTGTGAGGAGAAAAAAAGCAAACTTCAAGACATGAAGCTCTAAGCAGATCTAATGTTAGAAGCAACAACTTCCAGAGCACACCCTACATTCAGAACAAAGACACCCTAATCTCTTTTACTATACACATTTATGCTTTTAAATAGTGACCTAATGTCACAAAGACAACCCACAGTCACTTTAAAAATCAACAGAATTACGGTTCCTGAGGCAGAAAGGGTGGTATATTTTAGAAATCATCTCTGCACTTAAAATCATTTTCTGTGTATTCCTCAGTTAAACCAGAATATGAAACTAACTAGAACTCTTTTCTCCAAAAAAATCCTGTTAACCAAGAATTTAATGTGTGCTTGGAAAGCTTTGAATTTATACACATATGAAATATCCAATTATGTATATAGATGTCCAGATTATCTTCCTTCCTGAAAGTAATGTACAGATACAAACATAAAACTCACTCAGATTTGCTGTCACAGATTCCAAATCTGCTACTAAACCTGGGAGCTGCTGAAGCTGCTCCTGCAACTCTGTGAGGCTTGTCTTCCTTTTCTCCCAGTGCACTGACAGCATAACCACCTCGCTGTCCACCAGCTGCAACACACAAGAAGAGGGGTGAAGTAAAACCAGACTGCAGGCACAAAGAAACTAGAGTCAGCACGATGAGAGTTCGTCCACGGTATCTTTAAAAACCCCTCTACTGACTACAGACAACAGGGCACTACTCTAAAGCAAACTGAAGTTGTTTTCTTTCTTAGAAAAGAACCAACTTAATATACAGTGCAGAAAACCTCAAATTGCTGCTTGTCTCAGTGCATCTTAACCCAGAGAAGAAAAAGTTCAGAATGACCTTAGAAATCACTTTTAAATAAATATACCCTATTTTTAAATAAACCATGTATTTGAAAATCCAAATACAGGAAATAAACAAAACAAAAAAGTACCACTAACAACTGGGAAGAAAACAAAAACAAGCCAAAACACATTTAGTGGGTAATTATTTGCTTTACAAAAGGAATTCTTTTAACAGAGAAGTTCCCTAATGCATTTAGAATATGATTCAATTTGTATTTAAACAAGAACTCATTGCATGAAGAAAGGTAAATGGTACTTGTACATGAAGGAATTACTGAGACAGCTGATCAATTCCAGAGAAAGGAGAAAAGCATTTATAGTTAACAAAGAGGGAATTCAGATATAAAGGCATCGTAATAGCAGGTTTGTGAGAAAGCAGACTAGCCCCAAATAACTTCTTTTCCTGAAGACTGTAAAGAAAATGATAGACATCAGTTTCTCCCAGACAATTTTGTTTTAGTCTTAACACTTAGGAGGAGCAAGAAGAGGTCATCTTCTGAAAACATCACCAATGACAAGGATTGTGAAAGATACCCACACTAGTACAGTAACTATAAAGACTGCCAGATTCATTACTGTAACAGAAGAAAATGCATTTGAATTTTATCTGTAAATCAGACTTCCACAGCTAAGTGATATATAAAGGAAAGACAATTTACATATACCAAGATAAAGATTCTTCAATAGTTGGAACAACTGCTTTTTACTCATATCTCACTAAAAAAAGAACTTCAGAGGGAAAAAACATCAAAATAAGATGTAAAATTATTTGCTGTGTTAGACTGTTTTTGTTTTCTACATTTTAATATTCTAGGAGTTCAAAACATTGAAATAAAAGAACTAAGTCATGTAAAGTGGCTAGAAATCTGCCTGTTTCAATGCAGTTAGCTGTACCTACACTCACTCACCTCCCTGCTGTTTTCAGCCTACACTGCAGGGATAACCACATCATCTCTCATATACAAGCCTCACCTGAGCTGGAGAGGTGACACCCAGCTCCATTCAAGTTGCATTTTTCATTAGTTCTACATTCTTAACAATGCCTCTTGCCAACCTATTTTATAAGGATCCTATTTTTTATAAGTATCCTAAGGATACTATTTTACTGGTTGTTTAAAAAATACTGAGCAGTGTTAATAGATACAGCTGTAGTATGGAAACCAAGGCTTGAAGAAAGGGCCTGTGTTCATGACCTTCATTTATAATAGTCAACAAACTTCTGTTGACCGCCCACTCTTTGTCAGGCACTGTTTTAGGCACTGGAGATGAAATAGTGAACAGAAGGGAACAGAAATCCTGCCCTCTTGCTGCTTATATTCTGGTAGCAGGTCTACAAATAATCTTGGCTTCAGTTTTTAAACTCTGAAAAAGAAAAAATAATTCCTTTATCTAAGGGTGGATTTGAGGATAAGTAGTATGTTTTTCCTGGTACATGGCATATATTTTTTGTTAAATACTTAGGTACTCTGGTTAATTAGGTCAACAGTTTGAAAAATCTAAAATAAACTTTTTAGAAATTAACCATTTGTTACTGTAAATTAAAGTATAACATGGTTACATGTTAAAACTTAACTATGATCTAGTTCATGCCTTCCATAAAACTGAAAATTATATTCTGAATATAGAACACAAGAATATATAAAAGAATGTATCAGAATACACTCATTTAATTTTAAATTAAAAGAATGGGAGGTTGGGTGGATTCTCTGAAACTGTAACTACAGGATAATACTATACTATTTTGAGCATTTTTCTGTGTTCCATGTCCTGTGTTATGCAACTGACACATATTATCATGTTTAAACCCCATGGCACCTTCATGAACTAAACAATATTACCACCTTCACTTTACAGATAAAGAACCACAGGTCTTCCCCAAAGGCCACAGAGGACCTAGAATTGATCCCAGGGAATCTGACACTTAAGCCTATGCCCTTTATCAGTTATTCCAGGGATTATGCTACAGGGATGTAGGAAAGGAAGAAGAAAAGTGAAAAGCTATCAAAAGAAAGGGCTCTGAAAAACTGTAATTAAACTTTACTTATTGGTAAGAAATGATTTATATGCAGAAAGCCAATGTTCTACCTTCAAGTAAATAATTCTGAATAAAGCCAGATTTAACACCAGGAAATCAAGTTTAGGTCTCTAGACAAAACCAAAATTGCAAAATTCCTTCTGATGGACACTGAAGTTAGGAGAATGAAGAAAAAACAAGGAACACCAACGACTTACAAAACAGCTAACTTTAGGAGCTTGCTGTGTATAAAACTTAACAGTTCAGAGTTTTGGGGTACACTGTTTCATGTAATTTCCAGACAACTTTGGTCAGCAGGGTAAATGATGTTATGCCATTTTATAGATGAGAAAATTAACAACAGAGAAACTAAGTTATTTGCCTAAGATTGAAACATACTAGTGCAGAAACCAGGATTTCTCATCCCTGGGTCAGTTCATTTTCTGCTACGGGCCAGGCAGAGGAGGGCCTCACTGCTGCCCAGAGAGACTGAAGCATGGCCGACTGCCCAGCTTGCACATCAGAGCGCTACACAAAACCATGGATCTTAGGAGTTCAAACGGAAGACAAGCAAGTATTTCCCAGTAACAGGAATTGGAAGCAAATAATGCACTGCAAGTCTCACTTAACAAAACTACCTTCAGAGTTCACCCGTAAGTCATCACTATTTACTCATTTATATATTACTAAGGGAGGGAAAAAAATTCAAAGAACTTAAGGAAAAAAAACTTACAGAAAAAGCATAGACAACAAAGTTACCACTGACCATGGCTTTTTGTTTTCTAAGCTATTGCTCTGATTTAAGATTGTATAAGAATTAGCTAAGAGTAGATGGCTATGAAGTAATTTGTCAAACAAGACTGAATTGTCCCAAGGTATTTTTGCCCTGGCAGGTTGTAGCTGTCTGGTTAAAGGACACCACACAAGCACAGTCTGACAAAATAAATATAGGTTTAATACTATGTTTTAAAAAAGATACACATTTTAAATATTCACATATGTCTCAACAATACACAGCATGCTTTAAAATAAACTTTTATTTTCAAAGCTAAGTACTGTATTTCCACAAAGCAACAGATACACTTCTGATCAGATGTGGGTCTTAAAATAACTATACTAAAAATGCAAGATCCCCAAATAGCATAAATTCAACAATAGGTCTTAAAGAAATTTTCTCCTGTTATGTTTTATTATGAAATACTTATCGCAATCAAAAGAATAATTTTTCCTGAGACTCCTCGCCAGGGTACAGTGCTTGCTGAGCACTGTGGGACTCAGCCTTGTTACTTGGTGCAGTAGCTCACTCCTTCTCACTGCTGTGTGGTATCTGATTTTAAGAATAAAACCGAAATCTATTCTGTAGGCAGACTTTGCGACTGTTTAAAGTTTCAACAAAACCTGCCACAAACATTCTGATACTGATCTCCTTGTGCACACATGCAAGTTTAACAGCTGAGTCTCAGATGTGTCCCAGGTATTTATCTCCTCATCTCCCAGAGTGGCTCAACAGGACTTGGTAAGGACCCCTAGCCTCGCCACCTCTTAACTTTAAGGAGCCTCATCTATCTATTACATAATAGACAATACCACACCAACATTATCATAGGCAATGAGAGCCATATAAGATTATCAGGGAAAGCCTGTGAGGCAATGCTCTGGAAATATCCCTAGGAGTGGAACTGTTGTTTCAAAGGTATGTGCAACCACAACTTCCACTTAACCCAACTTATTTTTTTTAATGTGATTATGTCAATGACCTACACTCCCCAGGTCTACTTGCTCCTCGTTGTTTCTTCCAAGGGAAGACGCAAAAACCATCTTCTGCAAATAAAGACAGTCTGCAGAGAAAACACAAGACTTATATTTTTGATAATCTATTGAGTGTAAATCTCTGGTTTTCATTTGTATTTCCTTGATTACCAACTGACTTCAAATGTTTTCATGTTTACTGACCATTCACATTTTTTCTTCTGTAAAATGCCTGGTCATATCTTTTGCTCACTTTTCCACTGGATTATTCCTCTTTTCATTGGCTTGTAGGAGTTGTTCATGTTTCCAGAACACTTGTTCTTTTCACTTTTTCATGGTGGTGTTGGATGAATAGAAGCTTTGACAGATCATCAGCATTTTTATTTATGACTGGTGCTTTTTATGCCTTGTTTAATAAATCTTTCTGTATCCTGAGGTCTTAAAGCTCTTCTCTATTTTCTAAAACATGTAAAGTTTTCTCTTTCACATTTCAATTTGATAGAGCCAAAATCTGAACCAAGGTCTTCAACTACTTTTATTCGACATTATACTGGTGGTTCCACCCAGTGTAAAAAGACCTAAGACATGAAAGTCATACAAATTAGAACAGAAGAAACAAAAGCTACCATCTACACAAAACAACTCCCACTCCCAAATACAAATTACTACAACTGAGGATCTAGTAGGATGGTTGAGTATGGCATCAACACACTACAAGTCGAATACTGCAGGTTTTGGAAGATATCAGGACAAAAAAGTTATCTTTTGTTAAAAATTTGCTAAAATATTTTACTCTGAATACCTAATTTTATTGAATGTATTTTTTTGCCTTAATATTATATATATTTTGTCTTTTAACATGTTAACATGGTCAAATGCATTTAACAGATTTTCTAATATCAGATCAACCTTTCAATCCTGGAGTAAAACTGGTATTTTGTTTTTTATGCAGTCAGATGTAGTTTACCAACAGAGC